ATTATTATTATGCGTAGGATTCTCTTCGTGAGTGAGATGTTTGTAAAAGTGTCGCTCAGAGAAAAACTATTTTCCGTTTTATGATTGTGATGATGTCTTCGGGGATTTCAAGTCCTTTAACTATTATTCTCCTCGAGAAAGACATGTTTTGATAAATATTTTGTGCCCCTGTTAAATTTGATACGTTAGGCAATAGTAGTCCCTTATCGTTATGATGATGGAGAAAAGGATGGACGATAACAACAGTGCTATCAAACTGAAACTTGCATTTTCCTGCACAAGAGCTAAAGTAGTCTATGCTATCAAATTCCGTTTGATGTAATGTGTGGGATTTCTTGTCAGCGTTTCTGGCCTGACTCAACCCGATCATACAGATCCGACTGGTCGGTCAAGTGCCCAGCCCACTTAAGCCCAGGCCCATTGATCTTGGAAACAAAAGACGTGAGTGTGGGCAGCCCAGAAACAAACACCGGCCGTTGTGCGTATCAATTCAACGAAGCTGGCCGTTGCTGTTGATACCACCTGACGTGCTTTTGTTCATGTACAGGGAAATAGTTCGCTGTTCATATCCTGGTGACTTATTTTCTTTTTTCAAGTTCTTTTTTTACGTTTAGCTGCGCGCACCGTTTAAAGCAGAAATCAGTAAGATCGTACACGTGTGGGATTTAAATGGGGAAGCTTTATTCCACGTTAACAAAGACGGCGGAAGGAGTAATTTCAAGAGCTGATAGATCCGTGGATGTGAGACTGTGGAGCGCTTTATTCAGCCAAGATGTAGGTAGGTAGATAGCAGGTAGGTAGGTAGGTAGGTAGGTAGGTAGGTAGGTAGGTAGGTAGCGACGATCATGTGAAAGATCATATCTAGAATCTAGGTATCTGAATAAAACTTCTTTTTTTTTTGTTAATGGCAAATTACCCTCAGTATTAGTAACAAGACCGCTTATTCCATACCACCCGTTTATTAGTTTCCAGCTTGCTACGACCGACGATCATGTGAAAGATCATATCTAGAATCTA